ATCAAAAACTGATAACATTAGAAACAGATGGCGTGCGATCGATAGAAAAACTTATAAATAAAGAAATTACTTAATTAAAACTAAAATTTCTATATATTTTAATACTATAATATTATATAATATATTGTTATTACAATAATAAATAATAAAAAAAAAAGTAACCTAAAATTTTAGTGAGAAAACATTTTATAGTTTTAAGCAATGAAAACAATTATATTTGCATTTATAGTATTGAGATAATAAAATATACGAGTAGAATTCACGATAAATAAATAATATTTTGAAACTATTAGGAAAACTGGTACTACATCTCAGGAAAGTGCTGTCATTATCATCAAGTTATGTTTTTCATTCATTTGCATAACAATAAACTTGGAAACTTGGATCTGCCAGCAGGGAATCGACATTATTTTATGTGTTTACATCATGTCTCAAGTTCTAGTTTTGGAATATTTAGATCATGTTTTTATGAATCTAATTGTTGTGATGAGATTTAACCAGTTGCTGTTCGTCTGTCACATGATATGTGGCAGTGGCAGTGTTTCTGTCTAACTAGCAGAAAAAAAAATTGATTAGAGGCATTAAGTCTTTCATGCTCGTTATTGTGTGCACGACAAGCCTAAACTAGAGATATCTCACTGCCATCACCCGATTTGTTGATATTTTACGTACACTAACGTTCTTAATTGAAAGAGATGACATAATATTGAAAACTTTCCAACAACATGAAAATTGTACTTCTGAAAACTTATATCAGAACAGGCTCTACCGATAGCAAATAGTCCAATCTACTTGAGATGAAAGCATGACATGGAACTTAAGAATTCATATCCACAACTATAGAACTAAATGCTAACTTATTCCTTTGTACTTTCCTCTTCAAGATAGAAGTTAGTTTATGCCCGTTGCAAGGCATATCGTAAAAAGCTTTTATTTTGTATTTCTACATTTGCTGCCGCACTGGTTTATGCAACCAAAGTCGATGTCGTCCTTTTTTCATCGTACATTGATTATATTAGGGAACTGTTTATGGGTATCAGCAGTGATATTAATGAAATAAGGTAATCATAGGTTTGTATAAAAAGTGGCATCAAATTTACATTGGAAGAATATTGAAATTGAACGTTCTGTGTCATATTTACCTAAGCTTCTTTTTAATGAATTATATTAAATTGATTTTGAACATCCGTTAGTAGTAGTGCAGTAGTGCACTGCAACAACAAAAGTTTTTATTACTTACTTAGTTGGCTATTACAGACGTGTGTCGTCCTTGGCCGCGTCGAGTAGCCTCCGCCAGTCAGCCCGATTAGTTGCTTTCTGACGCCAGTTGGTAGTACCGAGCGCCCCCAAATCGTTGGTCACCTGGTCCTTCCACCCAAGATGCGGACGTCCTCTACCGCGTTTTCCACCTGCGGGTACCGAATCAAATACCTTTCTAGTCGGAGCACTTTCTTCCATTCGCACAACATGACTAAGCCAGCGTAGCCGCTGAATTTTTATGCGCTTAACTATGTTAATATCGCGGTATAGCTCATACAGCTCATCGTTCCATTTTAATCGATACTCGTCGCCAACGCGTAAGGAACCATAGATCTTCCGAAGAATTTTTCTCTCGAATGCTCCTAACGCCTTCTCATCACTGTTGGTAATTGTCCAAGCTTCTGCACCATACAGCACGACAGGCATGATAAGGTATTTGTAGAGCCTGATTTTTGTTTGTCGAGAGAGGGCTTTATTTCTCAATTGCTTACTTAGCCCGAAGTAATATTTGTTGGCAAGAGTAATTCTTCGTTGAATCTCTAGCCTGACGTCATTTTTGGTGTTTAA